TAGTTGTTTTCTCTTTTCACACACACTGTTCTGTTCTTTACTATTTCTCTTCTCACATTCTCGCCTGCATGTATGCACACATACTCACACACTTCACTTGTACTTTACATTTAGAACCTTCTCAAGAAGTTTTTAAAACATATTTTTAAAAATTAAAATCAAAACAAGCTGATCGTGCAAGAAACCGGAGTCTATGGAGGCCATAGGCTGACGGGGGTTGAGGGTGAAGAGAGAAAGATAGAGGGGTGAGGGAGAAGGGGGTGGAGACTGGAGAGAGATATGGAGAGAGGGGTGTTAAGAGAGAAAGAGGATGAGTGGGGATGGGGTGGGGGCAGGACCTACAGTAGGTCCTGGGTGGGGATGAAGAGAAAGAGAGAGATGGGGAGAGGGTGAGAGGGGGGTGAGAGAGAGGGAGAATATGTGAATGATTATTTCTGTGTGTTTATCTGTGTTTGTGTGAGAGAGAAAAAGAGAATGTGAGAGAGGCGAGGGAGAGAGACAGAGGCAAACACAGGCACAGAGACAGGGGTACAGGGAGAAAAAGGAAAGGGGTGGGTGGGGAGTGGGGGCAGGAAGAATTGGGTTTCCCAAACAATCAGTGGTCTCGTTTCCCCGCGCCAATCGACAAAATGTTCCTTCTCTCCAGTCGGTGATTAATTTCTAATCGAAGACCGGGGTCGAATTTTGAAATAGACGTAGGGTTTAAGTCTCTGGGATTATTGACTGAAACGTGATTTGAACCTCGTGACTTTATCCGCATGCTTGTTTGTTGGACATGGAGACGTGTTTCCTGTTCCATTAAGCTGGGTGCGGTGGTAGCCTAAAATTCGGCTAGAGAGGCGGGAGTTTGTTTTTGTTGCAGGTCTACCGCATAACTTCGAGTGCTGTCCCTGAAATAATTAACAAGAAAATGGCTATAATTAATATAAACGAAAAGTTTTGTCATAATTGAGACACAACTTACACATTTATTTGGCGTGCTTGCATGTTTGCTAGTTGCTTGCTTGCTGCCTGGATCGCATTCTCAAAACTATGCTCCTGATACCATACTCATACTCAATTAACTCCCCCCCCCTCTCTCTCTCTCTCTT